GCTGTAGCATCACAATGGATCGCAAACGTTAAAAAACAATTAAACGTTGTTCGCGCATCGGCATGCGCGAAATTCAGCATCGATAGGTTGCCGTTTTCTCATAATGCAAACAGCCTAACAGGTCTGCGATGTTTTCGATTCATTTATCGCTGTCCTTCCGTACCCGTCCTACAAGACTACAACTTGAAAAGAAAAGTTGAAGAATTAAAATCAATCGTCCAAGTATTGATTCTTCAGAGTATTTTACGCTTCATGCCTTTTGCCCCATAGGCGCGTGAGCGCTTTCGACGATATTCGAAGGCCACGAAGTGGGAGAGCCTGGAGGAGCTGATAAGAAACCCGAGAAAAGCCGGCCCGTTGGAGCCTTTAGCTCGTCGAGTTATGAGCGTTTTTGAAAAGAAGGGCCGTGCAAGATTTCCAAGCACACGGCTCTTCATCAGTTTGGCAAGACTACTGACTGTTTCCCTTCCATTTTCAAAGTGCTACTGGGCAGGTAGATAACGGAGCCTTTCGACAAACACCAGCCCACAAGAGATCTCTGTACACAAATCATAATATTATCATATAGTATTGAGCAAAACAAATGGTGGGAATACCTGTTAGAATCCAAACCAAGTAAGAGAGGACACAGGCAGGCCCAGAGGTGTAACGACTGCTGGAAACAAAACAAAAAGGCAGCATATGAGACAAAGACGAGAATTCTGGTTTTTACCCTACACGCAGAGTACAGCAAAAAGAAATGCAAGGAGTCAGGACATCAGCTCCTTTAGCGAGTTGTAGCAGTGGAATACTGCCCTTCTGGCTTTCACGCTTGAAGCATAGGATGTATCCGCAGCACTGGAATCGATACGAAAAGGAGAGGGAAATACATAAATTGACGATCTGTCGGCAAGACGAGCAATTCGAAGAGATGCACTGCGAGTTTGACGCAAAGCGGATTAGCAGCATAGCAACACTGACACACTTGTACCATCCATTCAAGTGTAGTTACGTTTGGCTCAACTGCCCAAGGCGCTTTTGCAGAATGTAACAGACGGGGGCAGGGAAGGGAAGCGGCAAAGCAGCACAGCAAAACCGGACACACTTCTCGTCGGTATTTAACAGAAGGGAGCTGAAAAAATTCTCCCTGGTCGATCGAGTTACCTTTGAAGACTGAAAGGGACTGACTGAAGGAAGCTGAAAAGACTCAGTTGGAAAATTCTTACAGGTTACAACGCTAAAAAAAGAATTTGAGGTAAGCGATACCTAGGAAGGAGGGTGTGCAATCAAACAAGGAACCAGCATTCACTGAGACGCACGCATAATAATGAGAATGAAAGGCTGAGCACGGCGGTTCAACCCCATGCTGCATTGCACCTCGACAGCAGATTCCCGCGAAAGCAAAAGAATAGTCAGCCGCACCCGATCAGAGACCTACCACAGCTCCTTTCAAAGACTATACACACTGGTCATGTGCGGAATGGAGTCGATAGAGGGGAGAGGGAAGGCAGGCAGGGCAACAGTCAAGCAAACGGAGGCGTTGAAACAGCGAACTAAGGACGGTGTGTTTTCATACATTCAGCGGAAAGCGGTGAGATCTCACAGTCTTGGAGAAGCTCAAGCAAAGAAACAAGGGTCGGGTCACGCACCAGACAAACTCCAGAGACCTGCCCATCGAAGTGCTACAGAGCACAACTCAAAGCACGCGGGCACCTGGCTGCTGCTGCTGTTGCGCCCTCCCTTGGGGGCGAGCACCAGGCCGGCACTCGTTTCGGTGTCTCGACCTCCAATCAAGAGTCTGGCAAGAGCGGGAACAGTAGCTCGCATAACTACAGGAGGAGCACCTCCAGAACTCTTCCGCACGAGTCTCCGGCCGCCCGCAGCTTTTTTCAAGGCATTGTCGGCAACCCGGGGGCAGTGCGTGCATCCTGAACCAATCTATCAGAAACTGGTTGGCGGCATGCGGAACCCTGCCCTGAGAATACATGCAGTTCGCACCAAACAGGCAAGCTCTCCTCACACGAACACCCTCCGCTGTAGCTCGTTCGACCGCATCGGGCAGTTCATGCTCTTTGGAAGCCCCACAGTGAGAGTCAACTTCTGGCTCGTTCCGGGCATGTCCGTTCAGGTATATGCGTTGTAGATACCAATCGACTGAGTATGGACTCGGTGCTACTCGCCGACCTCTCCGATTCGATGAACCTGACCCCTTGTCCTTCTCCTTGACCACACCCCGGGTGGTTATCGGCGCCACCGAGGACGACCCTTCGGTCGCCGAAGTCGAAGCCCCCCCTTCGGTCGCAGAGGACTCCCCACACACTGCAAAACCGCCTCCGATGCATACCATCTTCAACAGATCTGACACACCACCGCTCGCAGGCATCACTGGCTGTGGTGGAACCACGAAACCTACCATTTCCCTCATGTTCGCTTCCAGAAGAACCCACCGTCCGGTCTCGACATCCATCTTGCATCCAAATCCATCCTGAAGGCAGTGTCCATAATCACGCAACGCGTCTGTGCTCCCCAACAACGCCGCACGCTCACAAAGTGCCACTCCCGCTTCGAGGTTCTTCTCACCCGGCCCCATTCCACTCCCATTGAACAATATAATAGCCAATGAATGCAAAGCTAAGGGGTGGCCGCATATTGCAGCCTGCGCCAGGTATCGCATTGCGTCCCGTAGCTCAACCCGGTCACAGTAAAACAGAACCTGCACATCATGAACAAATAAGATGCGGCAACACAAAGCTTCTGAGACTATGGATTATGTGCCATAAGAGTACGTCTCCCGTCCTTGCTTTGCATGTACGCATCTTCTCCCAAACTCTCCATCCAGCAGGAGACTAAGTTATCAAAATCCCTACACGACAGCAGGCAGACAACGATGCCACCGTAAAACAGAACCTACACAGGACATACAAATAACACGCTGCAACACAAACCATCCGATAACATGGAGTACGTAACATAAGAACAGGTCTCCCATCCTTGCTCTGCATGTAGGAACGTTCTCCCAAACTCTCTGCAGAAGGCTAGCCCGGCAAAATCCCTACACCAGCAAACACATTTCTATCAAGGTCTTGTTGTCTTAAAGCACCAGTACACCACACATCGGCCCGCGGGTATTGACATGAAATCCGCACCACTTCAGCAGCCGCCGATTTTTTTTTTCAGCGGCGCCCCTGGCCACGCGGCGTCTCCGCCTTTTGCTTGTGGCGACAAAAACTTTCTGCAAGGCTGGGCCTGTGTACTACCTTCTTCCCCCAAATACAACCTACGGTCATTATAGCTGTATCTATTAGACTGAAAGATGCCTCAAATACAGCTTTAGTGACCGTATGTTGTATTCGGGGGAAGAAGGTAGCGGTTTAAATGATCATCGTGCTGAGCAAGGGCATCGGTATCAACTTACACTCGAGAAACCGGACTACCATCCGTCTTCACCAAAATAGAACGTTCAGTCATTCGGGGCAACTATCAGAGCAACTATTGATAAACACATATACTGTCATATAGTTGCCCCGATTTTTGGTTTGATAGGCATGGGGGAGGAAGGACGGCAGACAATACGCAAGCAAACCAAACAGGCAAACCAAAAACGAAGTCCCTATACAGCGATAACGGTCGGGTGTTCCATTCGGGTGAAGAAGGTGGGAGCAAGTAACAGCAGCAGCAGGAATCCTTGCTCTGCAGATGTATTCCCCACTTTGAGTAGGCGATCTTCAACGCACACTCAAGTAGAAAGCAAAAGCTCGCAGGGTGGCCAAATGCTACACACATATGCCTTAAACACATCAAGGGTTCAAAATTCAAATCCGGTTCAAAATAACATTTGTTATTTTGAAAACCAAAGGCCTCTGATGGCCGGCCATTGAATCAAACATAGGAAGAAAAACAAATCCACATGGTCAGCAAGGTGAAAAACAATAGAAGACCATCTTCACCTCATATTTATACGCGTGAATTATAGCCAATGCTAGAAAGTTTCCGTTCATGCGGCTTCCTTGCCCACAGGTTGCAGAGCTGTTCCCGAAGGCCAAACGATTTTGCCGCAAGGCCCAAGGGACGCACATGCCTGCGACAGGGCCGTCAGATTTGGATACAGTGCTGAGGTGTTGTGTTGCAGTGCTCCACAAACTAGTGTGTGCCGCAATCTGCTTTCACATTTGATGAAGTAGGGAAACGAACGATTTGTGTTCGTCTTTTTTCGACAATTCAAAATCTATCTCTTTGTCAACACTTAGTTTCTTATACAGATCAGGATTGGACCAGCTACCGTCTTCACCAGCAATAAACCTTACGGTCATTATACCTGTATCTCGGGTATCTTACAGTCTAAATACAGCAATAACGACCATCCGTCATACTCGGGTGAAGACGGTAGCATGTTCATCAACACACTTCAGTGTGGCATAGGGCCAGCCAGCCAGACAGTTCTGTCCAGAAGACAGCTCAGAGAAGACTCAGGGCATAATACTCAGCCTTGTGCTTTTCCAATTGAATTTGGACTCTTTGGAGCTAATTACGTGCAAATGCATTCAGGAGAATCCTAGTGTGGGTACGACTTCACAGCAGTGGCGATAAAGCACCGAAAACCTTGGACAGCAAAATCACCAGCAGTACAGATAAGCACTCAGAAGTAAGCGAAAGGAAGTTTATGGCAAACGCAGCATACTCATGATGGTCGGTCAATCAAAATTAAAGCGGATGTCAAAGCAGCAAGGACGACGAACTTATTCTAGAAGCGCAGAACTCAACCGCATGTACCAGCAGCAAGGGCGGGCAAGAACAACAAATTTATTCAAGAAGGGCAGTCCCAAGAGCAAGGGCAAGAATGACAGACTTAAGCACCAACCATTCCCAGAAAGTATGCGGCCTCGGTGCACCCTGCATTGGCAGCCTTCCTCAGAAATTCCTCAGCTCCTTTACACCACTTTGCGGCAGGAATGGCCAGCACTGCATCAGCAACTACCTGGAGCACTAGGTCATCCAGCATACAATGCAGGAACCGCCGACATCTGCATCCACAACAGGTGCACAAGTTAGAACCTCTCAGTAATCACATGTGCAACATCTTCACCTTCTCTCTCTCTCTCTCTCTGTCTCGCTCGCGCGCGCGCACACACACACACACACACTTTTCACCGGTCAACTGGCTCCTCTTCTTCTTCCTTTTGTCCCTTCCTTCTCTTCTGCCTCCTCCTCCTCCTCCTCCCCCTCCTCCCCTCCCTTCATCATCGACCTCATCATCAACACAGTCACGAGCAGATCAGGCATCACAGTGGCCTCATCAGCGGAGGCATTCATGGTCAGGTCAGCTGTCACAGAGGCCCCATCTCCAGCACCACCTCCTAGACAGCGGCCTCGTCTGTACTTGGACACCATGACCACCGCGCCTGCGGCGGGGATCAGAGATCTACTCCAGCGTCATGCTCGCAACCATTATGGAGCAACGCCGTCGCTATCAATACACTAGCAAGGAATAGCACATGCCGAGTCCGATCCCATAAATGTGGAGATGATCTGTTCAGTGCAGCAATGCTGCGTGTGCACCCGACGTGATGTGCAGCCACCTGTGCAGCATTTTTTGCATGACCAGCAGCCACTCTGAGCACAAGTGCGGGTGATACGCCTCCACTTCCTGCATCCCACCGACACACTTCTCATCCACCTAACCCCAATCGCTCTCCCGCTCCAACTGACAATGATCCACCTTCTGATCATTTGATGGACCCGCCGACTGGAGATGATCTCTCTCCAGCCCGCATGCTAGAGTAAATACAGCTGTAGGAACCTGACAGAAACAATCAAGACCATAGTTGCGGCGCACCTTAGTGCACGGATTTGCGAGCCGCACTGCAGCCCGCAAAGCGGTGGAAGAAATTTGTAAGAAGGGTGTAATTGCCCAATAGCGGCCTGCCCCGCAGTGCTTCGGTCATGTGCTTGACAAGGCCAGCCGACCACGAATATATGCTGAACATTGGCATTCAGGTCGGCATGTCGGCAGTTGTGGGTTAGGTTGAAGATGCCTGTAGCTCGCTCGTTTTTACTTCTTGTTTTCTTATGAATACGTACAGTGGCCCAAGGGGCCTCACTCCACTACTCACCACCTGCACAAAAGACATAGCATATGATGGTGTATTGTTCCATGTTTTAGCAGAAGATTCATTCTAATGTTGTACATTTGGTGAGTGGTGGAGAGAGGCCCTGAGAATTACGTGGAGACACGAACAGGGTCTAGCTGAATTGGTGACCCATAACTGCCGAGCTACAGACCTGAAGTCAAACCCACAGCATATATTGGTGGTCTGCTCCCACCTCTTCCACATATGACGCGGCCATCCTGCTCATTGAAGCATTGGTCCTCAACGACTCCACAATGTTCACATACATTGTCGGGGCCATTTGAGTTACTTGACGGGGCCCTTGAATTAACATGAAGGGGGCCCTTTGGTGTCTCTCTCTCTCTCTCTCTCTCTCTCTCTCTCTCTCTCTCCAAAGGAACGTATAATTATTTATTTATTTATTTATTTTTTCCACGCACCTGGCGCTCTGCGCACAGTGCGTGTGCTCTCATTCTAGTGCACAGCGCACTGCGCACCGGCCCATACCGCACTGCGCACTGGTGCGCCACAACTATGGTCAAGACCAAATGAACCTCCCCCTGCTGTGAAAACTGTACAATCAAATGACCTCATAGTGGTACAGCAAGGCCACTGCATACTATGCCTTTCATGTATGTCTCCTTGCTAACAATTGCAACCCCTATACCACTTAAGATTTTGCAGACATTGTCTACCGGATAGAAGAAGAGCGCCGTGCTATCTTCCTAGAGGCTGACAGCACAAGTCCCGCCTGCTCACAAAATTACATGCCCAACATGGACCCGAATATTCTTGCATACATCCTGCATTGCCCGGGTCATTTCAGTGCTGCTACCTTTGCAGGTAATTCATGACCCTACCGGACAATGGGGGTAGGGCGCACACTGCAAGAAATACAAACTCTTTCTATCACCAAGCGGTAGAATCCCACTCAACGCTGGTCACTCAGGAACACTATGTGAATGTGCACTAGCAAGCTCTACAGCATCCGAAAAGCAATCCAGCTGAACCTCTCCCGCCCCCTGTACGTGGCTAGGCAGCATCCCTTCCCTGTTTGCATCAGACAGATTCTACCACGGACAGTGAAGGGGGCTCTCCATAGGATTGTGGCTGTGCCATGCCATTGTGTCTCCACACAGCTACAGGTGGAGAGCAATCCGGCTGAACCTCTCCCGCTCCCTGTACATGCCTAAAAAATCCCTCCCCTGTGTGCATCAGACAGATTAACACGGACAGTGAAAGGGGTTCTCCATAGGATTGTGGCTGTGCAATGAATTGCAGTGTCGCTGTGAGGGCTGTACTTTACCGGTTTAGAATCCTCTGGGGCTTGATCCCAAGACCTTTCACTTGCAGAAAAGACAAAACAACCTGTCATGCCTTTAGACCCTTAGGCCAGGTTGTTTGGTCTTTTCTGCCTTCTAGAAACACTAGGCCCGTAGGTCTTTCTTTCGTGTGTCCTAGTCTTGGGTCCCCTTGGTGTGTGATCCTCTCTAGATGCATGTACGCAGAGAGGCCATCCACGTTGGGCTGTTTGGACGGTCAGATAAGTCAGTAGGCAGTTGCTGTGTTCTACGGCTAGGTAGTCAGGTTGAAGTAGGCTGGGCCCGACTGGCTTCGGGTTCTTTTCTCGTTTTTTTCGAAGTGCTGGTGGGAACGAGCGGAGCAGCGCTGAAGTTAGCGGTTGGCTACTTTATCTTCGTCGGCCTTCAAGCGGCCATAGCTGAAGTAGCATGGCCAGAGGGAGACAACGCCTGCCGCTGTATGGTCACTGCCAGCCTCTACCAGAAAACTGCGAGCCATTTTCTTGTACTCATCCTCCCCTCCCCTTAACTACTTGCCCAGCAATTGCTTAAATAGCTGTGAATGTGAGCCTTCTTTCCCAGTGAGATGTCAGCAACATGCCATGTGTTGTCAATTTTTCAAGGAAGCTGTCATAGAAAAGATGTCTCTCTCTCTACTACGTGGACTTTACCCGACTAGCTTACCTGTTGCAGCTCCGCCCACAAAAAACAGGTGCAAATTGCGCAAATGAAAGCAAATCGCATGAGGGGTGTGCTGGCCTGAGTGCAGTTGCAACTGGCCTGTTCTGTCCGGAAAACTTTCACATCCAATACCTTGTCAGCATATCTCTCTCTTGTGGCGTAATAAGTATTCTCTTTCAAATGTCAAAAAACATGCAATTCTTCGCACTTGCAGGAATTCTTTCCACTTTGCTTTTCTTTTTTTTTCTGTAAGAATAAAAGCCAGCCACTAAAAAACTACCTATGTGTGTGTGCCTGTGTGTGTGCGTGTGTTATTGATTTTCCCCACAACAGCCCCAATTCCACCCAGATGAATAGATTCAGAATCAAAGCAATATTTGTCCTATATTGCAGACAACGAGGGCATTTGAGATGAGACAGTCCAACATATTAAAGCAATTTTATAATTTGCAGTCAGACACGCATTCTTCTTCAATTCGCACACATGTAAACAGATGGCGATTCACACTGGCGCTGTGCGCCCACACAAAACTCAGAGATAGTCAAGCTGAGAACACAGTTCAGTTACAAACTCGCTTACAGTTGGCTATGGCGACTGGGCGCCCACACATCCTCTCTCCAACACTGTGTCCCCCAACTGTTCACACGCACTCGACTCCGGATCTCCCTGAATATCCCGTGCACATACACTCTGCAACACACACACACACACACACACACACACACACACACACACACACACACACACACACACTGAACTCTGCCTCTAAGCTACAGCGGCTATGGCCGCCTAACCTCTACTGGCTATGGATACTCTATCTTCCTTCAGCCCACTTCGACCTCGGGCATCTGCAGACCACCTCGCACAAGACGCTAGGGCAGCGCTTCCGCATGGCTCACGCAGGACTGAATGAATGTGGCTGGACGCTGCCTCTTGATTTATACTTCTGTAAGTCGCTGGTCTGCCCTTTTCCACCGGGCCCATGGTGCACACAGTCCCTCGTGGTACTTAGCTGACTGTACAAAGTGAGACTGGGACTGGGTACCGCTGACTAAGCGAAGTAGGACTCACCACTTGTGTACAAAGTGAGACTGGGACTGGGTACCGCTGACTAAGCGAATTAGGACTCACCACTTGCCCACTTGCGTCTGGTCTGCTGTGTATAACGTGAGAAGAAACTTGAAAGGCCACTTCCAGACCTTCCGAAAGTTTGCGGACTTGGCCTTTCAGGACTGTAGCAGCTACGACCTTGACCTTTCAGAACTACCACAACTATGACCCCTATGCAGGTATGACCCCTACTTCGACAGGTCTAAGGTTCAAGACCCGAGAACTACTCAGACCTACGACAGACAACTTTCAACTACTAACACACAGGTCACGGGTTCAAGACTCACAGGGTCGACTTGATACTATACACAGGTAAGGTAGGGTAAGGCGAGGTCTGGGGATCGAGCCATGGGATCCGCATCTGTGTCTGCAAAAGGTGAAAACCGTTTCAAACTAGACAGCTTATTGGTTGTCCTTCGGGTGTTCTTTCCACTTCGCTTTTCTTTTTTTTTCTGTAAGAGTAAAAGCCAGCCACTGCAAAACTACCGATGTGTGTGTGTCTGTGTGTGTGTCTGTGTGTGTGTCTGTGTGTGTGTCTGTGTGTGTGCGTGTGTTATAGATTTTCCCCACAACAGCCCCAATTCCACCCAGATGAATAGCTTCAGAATCGAAGCAATATTTGTCCTATTGCAGACAACGAGAGCATTTGAGATGAGACAGTCCAACATATTAAAGCAGTTTTATAATTAAACAGTTTATTGGTTGTCCTTGGGGTACCCCTTCCATTCGTTCTTGCAACTCCCCTTTTACTGTGCCTCTTACGTACAAGGCTGCCCACGTTGACTGTGGTTGAGCGGCAGCATTCCCCACATCCCCATGTG